AAGTAATAAATATACAGACGTTCGTCCAAACAGTATCCAGATGAATTAGTAATGTTAGGCGTTCGTCCTTAGTTTAGCATTCTCATAAAGCAATCTGTAAGCGTTCGTCCTTGTAGATTATGATTTATGAGCGTTCGTTCCCAATTTGGTATTTTAGGTTTCAATCTTGAATGTTCGTTCTTATATTGATATTCTTGAGGTTTCATTCATGAGCGTTCGGCCTTTGCGAAGTATTCTTAGGTTTGAATCATGAGCGTTCGGTATTCATCTGAAATTCTTAGGTTTGGATCTTAAACGGTCGGGATGATCTAGAAAGCGTTCGTCCTGGGTGTATAATTGACTTAAGCGTTCGTTGTTACTTGGTACACTAGGTTTCAATCTTGAGCGTTCGAAACGTCGTTCTTCGTTTATTATTAATTTTAGTCTCGGCCTTCATCTGTATTCATAAGATTGAATCTTGAACGTTCGGTTTTGATGTATTAGTGTGCGTTCGGTTTTAAATTTATATTGTAAACTTAGTTGGAACGTTTCGGTTGTAAATTGATATTCTTTAGTTTGATATTGAACGTTCGAAATTGTAGTATTCGGATTAAATTAGTATTCTCAGGATTTGATTTAGTACCGAACGGTAGAATGGATTTAGTACCGTTCGGTCAGGTGTTGATTTAATACTGTTCTGTTAATGGATTTCGACCTTAGCGTTCGGCCTCAGAGTGTTTGTCTCATAGCGATGTTATTAGGGAGTGGTCGGTCTGGATGATGCTTATTTCAGGAAACGACCGTTCGTAAATAGTGCTCGGAAAATAGTGCTTAAGCTTAGCGTTCGTTCGAATAGTGTTTCGGCCTAAAGTATTCCGGTCTAATAAACGTTTGATGTTTAAATGTCGATCCTATGATGAGTTTGATCTTAACGTTCGTCCAGGCAGTATTCGATTTAAGTGAAGTGTTCGGTTATAGCGTTCAGCCGAATGGTGTTCAATCCAGTGTGGTGCTCGGTTTTTAGTGTTCGGCATGATGTGGTAGGATCCGATAACGTCCATCCAAATAGCGTTTGGCCTGGTGTTTGGAAAATAGCGTTCGTTCAGTAGCGTTCGTCTAGCAGTGTTCGGTGAATAATGCTCATCCAAATAGTATTCTACAAATAGTGTTGAGTCTAAGTGAATTTTCTCTTGAATTGAATCATGTGTACAAATGTTCGGAATATATACTGGGATGTGATGTATGTGAAAATATGTGAATGTATGAAATATGATAAATTACGGTGATGATATGATTGTAAATGTAAATGATGTATGTGAGTATGAAGTGGACATCTCAGGGAGAGATGACTATAAGTGGTTATGTGGTGTTGTGGTTGTTCTGTATAACTGTAGTGAACTTAGGATCGGTCTGTCTATCCCTACACTCAAAGCATTGTTCATGCTCACATAGAGAAGAACAGTGTCAGTGGTGAGAGTAGAGGGAGGTCCTCGTCTATAGCCTTTAATGGCAGATATAGGCAGGTTGGGGATTTACCTTGCTAGTGTTGGAGAGTCCCAACAAAACTATGCAAGTGCAAAGACGACTGTTAGTTCGACAGTTATACAAATCCGGATGAGTCGTGTGTTGTGGATTTACCTTGCATAGTGTTGGAGAGTGCCAACAGAACTATGCAAGTGTAAAGAGGAGTCGTGTGTCGTGGATTTACCTTGCATAGTGTTGGGGAGTGCCAGCAGAACTATGCAAGCGTAAAGATGTGTGAGTTGTGGTTTAACGAGCATGTTTTAATTGTTCCTTTATATGTATCTATGTATGATGACATGAATCAACTGTGATATATGTATAACATGCTTTTTATATCTAGCTCACCCTTGCATTGTTTGTGTTGTGTGCCGTTTGGGTATGTTTCGTTGGCGATGATCATCCACTTGGATGGGAGCAGATGTTGTTGAGGAGATTCACTTGGAGCAAGAGCTAGAGGATACCGAGGTTGCGGTTTAGACTGTTAGGAACTTTCCTATTCGAACACTTGTAGTGTTCAATAATCTAAACTGTTAAGTTTAAATTTTCACTCCTTTTATTTGGATGACTGTAATTTCGCACTTAAATTACACGTCATATTCTGACTGTTCTCTATATTTGAATGTTGACGTCTTTATTATATAATATTGGTTATTATATAATCGGGATGTTACAATTCTCCTAAGTTTTTGTCTTTTGCTGTGAATTATAAATCTTATAACTAAATGACTAAATAAATAGCCAATAAGAAGGATAGAGGAGAGGAGTACCATCTTTTGCAACCGAACTTTTTTGCTATTTTTTTGAAGAAAGAGCAGGGACTAAAGGTGTTGGTTTTGTTCCTTGTGTTGTTGTGGTAGAGACTTGTGTAGTTCCCTGTATCAGGTGGGATAAATCATTATTAAGAAGGAGCAATATGGTGATATTTCTCAACCCAGAATAGTTATTTGGTGTAATTAAGCTGCGAATTCAGAACGGAAAAGTGGCTAAAGAATTTCAATCAGAAAATGAAAAGGAGCCTGAGGCCGAGGCTAACACGTTCATAATTGGAAGATTTTATTTGCTTATACATTGTAAAAGAGAGAAAGGAAAGATGTTTCTGTAATGTGTTACTATGAATAATATCACTCTTTTTCACTTTTAACTTCATTACATTTGGGTATTGCTATTGGAGAAATAAATCTAAGATAGATGAAGGGCCTGAAAATCTCGGCACTCATTTTCTTAGTCATTTTTAGTTTCATCTCTGGTGCTGCCGCCCAATTTGAATGAGTGCTTCTTGCATTTCCAAGTAAAAACACTTGTGTTTTTCATATTAGGATCTATCTAATTTCAGTTTCTGGTATGAGTTCTGGACAGATTGCTTAGAATGCAATATACATATGCATTACATACCACTTGGTCATGTTACTGACTTAAGCGTCGGAGTGCCTTTGACATGTGCACGACCGCCTGACTTGGAGAGCGAGGAGGGAGAGGACGAATACTACAACCAGGACTTGAAGACGAGAGCCCGTTCGGCCCTTCCCAGCGCATCCAGCCCTCAGCCAAGAGCTCGTCAGAAGGCGTCCGTCCGTCACCAAGCTCCGTCCGATCCATAGCATGAGATATCATCCGTTCGCCAGTCTTTACCGTTCGTGAGTGTTTTAACAGGGTCCCACCAGATCCGGCCGAAACATTTGGCGCCCACCGTGGGGCCGAGTGCGTATTCCCCATTGTAGACACAAGGAACCAATGAGCAATGAAGGGCACCTCAAAAGAACGTCAACTTCCACCGTTCAGCCCTTTGCACTCGGCTACATCAACCCAACAACTCAGTCTCCCGGCCGTTCGGCCTCAACTCTCGGCCGTCCGGCCTCAACCAAATTTGGTATCCGTCATCCGGCCATTTGGCCTCCAAGGTACGTGTTCGACCTCTACCATTCGGCCATTCGGCCTTAGGTACTTAGCCAAATTTGGCATTCAACATTCGACCGTCCGGCCTCAACCTCTTGGTCGTTCGTCCAAAGTTACTCGGTCGTCCGACATCAACCATCCGGCCATTTGGCCTCCAAGGTACGTGTTCGACCTCTACCATTCGGCCGTTTGGCCTCACGAATTCAACCGTTTGGTCTCCCGGGCCCCACATACCTTCGTCCATTCGACCCCTCATTAATTTGGCCATTCAGCCTTTCACGCATTCATTTCGGCCATTCGGCCTCACATGCCTTCGGCAATTCGGCCTCCCATGCATTTGGTTCGGCCGTTCCGCCTTGCAGGTGTCCGGTCGCTCGACCTCTACTGTTTGGCCTTCTGTGGCCTCAACATTCAGGTATTCGGCCGTTCAGCCTCACAAGAACTCGATCGTTCGGCCACACAGGTACTCGGCCTTCAGGCCTCAATCGTCCGTCCTTCAAGGCGTCAAGTGTTCAGGCATTCAACAATTCGGCCGAACAGATTTCGTCTACTAGGATGTTCTTCAAGAACTCCTGGGCCACACATGGTCATTAACGTCTGCTAGGAAGTTCTCCTGGGCTACAGACGGTTATTCTCGGAAGCGCTCTCTAGGAACAATCCTTCTCATTCGAGCATCTTCAACTGACCGGTCTACCTTACAGGGCATAATCATCTACTTTCTTTAAACTTCAAATTCGATTACGTCTTCTTCCTAATACAGAATACGAGAAGATGAAAGCAGTGAGATATATAAACATTATGCCGAGCTATGTCAGGTATGTGCTTTAACCGTGAGAAATATAAACATGTCCACATAACTAGTACTTTGTATCTGGACTTATGTATGAAACACTTACCATTGCTTGCTTCAAAGAAAGCGCTGTCAGAGGTACAAATCTCTCCTTTAGTTTAAGTACATGCTAGGTTGATTGGCATGTTATATTTTTAATAAGAAATGACAAAGAAATAAATATGAAATGAAGCAGATAAAATAGCATCTTTATTAGGATGTGATATGCATGTTTGCTGCCAAAATGTAGTTTTTACTGCCTTTATCCTTGGCATGCATGCAGGGACCTGCCTTGGAACTTTTCCAAAATGACTCTGAGAGGGAGCAACACTACGCAGATGCTTTAAGCACGAGTTCATATGAAATTGTTAATGATACTAGCGTTGCGACAGAAATGGAAGCAGCTCTAAAGGAGTATGACCAAGTTGGTGCGGACCTTGGGATCATTCCCAGATCTTGTAAATTCTTTGCCGATGATCCGAGTTGGCTTACAAGATGGTTAACTGGGGAAGAAAAACTACAAAGGATATGATGGGTTATTATTTTGACATGTATAATTTGAACATTTGTTTCTGTACTATTTTAACTCGTAGTTCCTTATACAAAAGACGTTGTCAGTTTTCTTATCATTTGGTCAGGCCTTATATATATATA